TCGAATGTCCTCACGTTGTTCACTATCAATTTTCAAATCCGGTTTTTCAAATACGTTTAGCTATCAAAGCAAAACGTGTTGTTATTATAGATTTTGCTTTGTTAACACCACACTTGGTTTATCAATTAGGAGATAAATATTTGATGAAAGTTATTTATTTGTAAAAATAAAATAATTACTATTATCCAAAAACCTACCAGTGTAAACAGCATTTGGGTAAATGGTTATAGCAATAGGTGAGAATCAAGGAAAGTTTCTTTACCTCTGTATGCTAATTCATCTATAGTTGTTGAAAAACCAGGTCTCAACTTTTTACATATTTTTATAGCAAGGTCTAGACCACATGGAAGATTACTGAAAGGCTGTTGACCTGTATACCTGTATATGGTGATGTTAGCCGGCTAATAACATTCATTTTTACATCTGGAGTTTTAGTGCAGAATTCAGTGGCATAGAAATTTAGTTGAGCCGAGTTCACTTGCATTACTTAGAATTACAAAAAAAAAAATTCAAAAAAAACAAATTACAATACACCATAGCAGGATAAAAGTCATAGTTGGAGTTTCTATTCGTAATATAAATTTTTATTTAATTCAATTCATTTTATTCGAATTATTTGTTTTATTCATTTTATAATTCGAATACTCAAATTCATAAATAATTCGAATAACTTTGAACCATTAAATCGAGATATTATGATCATAATGATAATTATATTGTAGTAATAATAACGATAGTAGTAACAATAATAATATTGGCAAGCTTAGTACCATCTGAAAAGTTTTTCATCAGCTGGGACTTATTAAGTTCTTAGCCGGCTAAGGTTTTCTATCGGCTAACATCACTACCTGTATATATAGATCAATTATTATGTTATATTAATTATATTTCTTTATGTATAGGAGTTACTGTATTGATTGATTATAACATGTTGAGATTAATGGCATTAGAACTCCAAAACTATACAGTGTATTTCAAAAAAAAATGGCGGTTTGTAAAATATTGTTTTTAATGAAAAAGTAGCCAAATAAAAATTATAC